AACGAAAAAATTGACCTGTTGATCGATCATTTGAACATTTTGTTATCAATGCTTTTATGTTTACAAACAGGTCTTGAAAACTTCGGCACGTCTCAAAAGATGGGACCTGAAATCCAAGCAGAAGAATACTTCTAATGATGCTTGAAACAAAAATGAAAATCAACTCGTCTGAGAATTTTCTCAGCTTCAGATCGATATTTCTTATGTATTAATATTGGTAATTCTTAAAGCACTTTGGTATATCTATCCACAAGCTTGAAATGAGTACTAAGCTTGTGCCGTGGAAAACTAGCTTGGATTGTGTTATGCAAATGGTTTTCTGTACATACCTTGAAGATTTTCTATACATTATGCTAATATGAAGTTGCTACCTTTCTTGTCTGTGTTCGAAAAAAATCTAAGCCCGATTGCTCGAATTGAGCTGTTGATACCGAGCTTGGCCAACCAATGAACGAGCCGGGAGGACACATTTCAAGAGTAAAAACCTTCGAAAATCCGGCAAAAAAATTGCAGTTTACATTCACTAACTTAAGGTGTTTCCTATTTTTGTCCAATAATTTATTAGGGTTCAAAATCGGTCTAATAACTCTTCAATCTCTAGCCAATTTGGTCCAGTTTCATTCCCGAAATCCAACAGTTATTTGATCTGAAATTAGTCCAATAAATCCTAAATTTTAGAGTCATTTTACCAATTTGGACTAAATTGACTAAAATTGTAGAGTTATTGAACCAATTTTGAACCCAATGAGTTATTAAGCAAAAATGAGAAACACCCAAAGTTAGTGGACTAAAACTGCAATTTTCCCAACAAAAACAGAAGTCGACACAACCGATCCAACACATGCAAGAGACATCGTTAGCGACCAGTTTACAGCCAAGGGCAAAAAAAGCCGACAAGATTAAAATCCAACCAATCACGACTTTACCTTAGCATTACATATTCGTAAAAACCGATGATCCTCCGCAAACCGAACAACTGTAATATACACACAAACCTCTCCAAAAAAAATCCCGCCATCGACAGCTAACTAAAATGCTAACAAAGCTCACCGTCGATTCACAGGCGGAGGCCCATAATACCCGCCGTTTGCGCCAGGTGGCAACTGGTGAGTGGCCTGCATCCCAAACGGGCCCCCACTGTAGCTATAACTCGGCTGAGCCAACTGAACAGCCGGAAAACCGGGCGGCGGCGGAAGAAAAGGCTGGACGAGTGGAGACAGGCCCGCGACCCCTTGAAAACGGGCCGGGTCGGGCTGTTCAGGCTTGTCAAGGGTTAACTGAGTTGCGGGCTTCTCCAACTTGGGCCTTTTGAGGGGCCCGTTCATTAGTTCTTCGGCAACAAGGGAGGACAGTACGGAAGAGAGCATCTGGGCTGACGAGGTCGAGGCCGCCAGCTTGGCAGCAACAGCAGCTGCTGTGGCCCGGTTGCTCTCCTCTTGGCTGATGGTGGGATTTGCGAATGTGGTCGTAGGCTGGGCCGGCGGGTTTGGGCTTGGGTTCGGGTCGATTTGTGATTCTTTCGGATTTTCGGTCTGCAGTTCGAGTTGATTTGTGATTCTTTCAGATTTTCGGTCTGCTGATGTCAGGCAGAGTCTCGTGTTGGCTGCTTGCTCGATCTGACCACGGGCTGTCTGCACGGGAAAATAAACCGCGAAATTACAAAATAAGAAATATTGCAGCCAACAGAAATGGAGAATACTCTTACAAGTAGCTCATTCTGAATCAGCTTCAGTTTTGCTTCCTGCAAAAGTGAATTTTTGTCAGCATTTAATATTTTTCTTGTCAGCATGATTCACTATACACACCTGAAAACAATCAACCTATATTTAATATGATTGCAAATTACAGAAGTGAGACAGTAAAAAAATGGAAAAATTAATCAATTACAAAATACCTCCAGTTATCTTTGGCTAAATTGCATTTTTAGTTCTGTTGGTTTAACGCTTAAGATACTAACATTTCGCATTTTGGTCCTGTAATTTTAATATTTTGGTGCAATCAAATTATTGAAATTGCAACAAGTTCCCAAACTTATATCTTATGGATGTGGATTGTTAAGTAGCAATTTAAGTCATGTAATTTAAAATTTCTTGCAATTTAAGTCCTGTAATTGAAAATTTTATTGCAATTTCAGTCATTTTTTAAGGACTGAAATTGCAGAATCAAAAGGCGAAAAGTTGGAACCTTGAGACTAAAATTGCTATGGCGTTAAACCAACGAGACTAAAAATGCATTTTTGCCGTTATCTTTGAAGTTTTGAACATTTCAAATATGTCCCTCATGAGGGGGCAATCTATGAAAAAGAGAAACAACGGTCAAAGGAGAGTTTGTTATTTGTTCTTATCTTATGAAATTAAAGGTAACAAATACACTGATATATTCACACATCAGAACCAGGACTTTGATTGAATCTAAGAATAAGCTGACTTTCACTCAAGCAGAATACAAAATTCATACTTGATCCTGAAGAGCTTCTCTGAGCTGGGATATCAAAACCACTCCGTTAGCTTCGATTTTTTCAAGTCGGCTGATGCCATGCTGAAGCAAGGCCTCCTGCTTCTGTATATCACTCACGGTTTCAGAGCCCAACAGCTCGCCTGAAGATAAGGTTCAATGTCACGAGTGCCAAATCATGTAAGCGCAGTAAACACCACAATTTGGACATTATTTTCTTCAATTCATTAACAGAAACAAAAAATACAAGAAACTAAAGGAGCCCTTGAATATCTTTTCATTTTCTTTTTTCTTATTTAAAAGGAAAGTGTTTGATTGGATATAAGATGAAAACGTAATGTCGAAACTTGATCAATACACGTATTTAATAATGACTGGATGTGAGTAATGAGATTGAAAATGTGCAAGTGAACCTTGGAATTTGTAAGATCTATAATAATGAGTAATGATTTGACATTCGTTTTATATATATATATATATATATATATATATATATATCTTNAAAAACATAAAATTTTCACGAACAGCGAGCAAATTAACAACATAAACAAAAATTTTCACGAACAGCCATGAGCTGAGAGCCTTGAGATATGAAATACTCTCCAGAGTAACGGAAAATGATTTCTTATACATGTCCTATCAAGGCCTAACACTTCTTTTTGTTATTCAACAACAAAAAAACAGAAAACATGTATCCAACAAGAACATCATCATTGTTATCATCAGAAAAGTTCTAGAAGAAACTAGATCAAACCGAACCTGGAGGAGAAACGTTAACATCGTTCTCTATATCACGCAGGTATAAAGCAGCATCTTGGCAATTTTTTATGGTTTCTTCGTCATTGACAGTTTCATCAAGTACCAGCTGGAAAGCAGTTAAGATTTTCTCCGGCAAACTTCCAACAGCCAATTTCTGCGGGGAAAAAAATAAAATTAGAAAAAGAAGATAAACCTATTAATTGATAACTTCATGACAATGAATGGAACCCATATTATGGCCCAAATGAGTGGGGTCCTTACAATCCTCAATGAGTTAGCATCTCTCTTAAGAATCTTGATGGGATTCAAATTCTTTTCAACATTGACCGGAGAGGGATTCTTGCCCGGAGAAGGTTTCTTGCGTGGAGAAGATTTATTGCTCTGAAATTCAATTTTCAGTTTTTCGCCCCTTGACCCAAAAACTTTTCTTTCTGTCCAGATGTCGACCTGATTCCAATGTAGTTCGAGTAAACAAATAAACCTTTACATAAAAAACCATTCAAAAATTATATACAGCACACACATATTGGATATAAGCCCTCCACTAAGCAGGTCACTCTAGCAAATATTTTGATCCTCTAATAGCAAATTTCCTTCACATTCCAGTTTGTTATATGTTTCAACTAGTTTCTTCGCAGAGAAGCTAAAATATATTGAATTCTGTGAAAAAATATAATATATAGCACCAAAAATTGCAGAGGGAAACTAAATGTCAGTTCTTGCAAGCTCAAGTTGAAAAGAAAAATGAAGTTCAGAAATTTTCCAATATATTCTAGAAAAGAGAGAAACTGCTAAAAAAAAGGACTGAAATCTTCACAACAATAAAAAAGGATCAAGTTGGAGCTGACAAGGATCTAAAGTATTAATCTCATCAAAAATTCAAAGCAGTAAAACAGAAGGCATGGGAAAGGTAAAAAATTACCAGCCTGGATGCTACTTTTTTGCAATTCTCCTCCCTACCATCACAAACACCCTTCAGCACCTTCGGAAGAACCTTCCAGAATTCATTCACAAACTCACTGCCTTTACGCCTGCTATTTTGCAGTATATCATTGGCCAGATATAAAAAGGAAACTCTTCTCTCTTTAGGTACGGATTTAAACAGTGCCTGCCATGTCTCCACAACTTGCTTTGCTTTTTCACGGTGAGAAATGCACCAACGAGACAATGCTGATCAAATGTTAAAGAAACTGCACGAAAAATCACTTTTTTGGCTATATGCATACAAGACCAGAAAAGTTCAGGCACTTAGCCCACTTCAAAGCAAATTTACATGCTTTGAAATAGTATATTAACCATATGCATATAAACACTAGCTCCATTATAAGCTTAAAGAGAGAAATATCATACAATTTGACTCGTAAAAAAAAAAAAAAAAAACCGAGGAAAAGAAAATAGTGCGGCCCAACATGAGCACATTCATCAACAGTTATGTCAAACACGGTACTATCTATAAGTGGAAAGGATACACTCTATACTTTGTTGAGAACTATTGAGTTTGGTCAGCTTTTCAGTCAATGAGGTCTCACTGAAAGAATCCTCATCACCCATTTGCAATGTTTGAACTTTGAAGGGTTATTATTTATACTTAGGATTGCCTGCAAGAGTAGCACCAGAAAGTAAACGCCAGAGAAGGGAAATAAAACAAAAGCGCAAAATCTGGAGGGTGGGCTCGAGGTTATTATGTTTTCAGCCGCTAATGGTGTAGAGCTAATCAGCACAAACTGGCTTTTCAAACATAAATACATACAGAATCATATATCCATGGTTTCCGCTCAGCTCACTGATTGCTTATAACCGTTGAATATATATATATATACGCTACCAAAAAATGCACAATTACAAGTATTCATTAGTTAATGTAATTCTTTACCTTGAATTTAATGTTCACAAGCCCGTCTCAAGAGAAGCCTGCCAAGAGACACGATTACAAGACTATATCTAAAACCCAGCTAAAAACAAGACCAAAAAAGCTAAACTTGCTCAGAAGATGTATTTTTTATCTTGAAACTTAGACTAAACAATGAAACCTTACCACCTTCTTCTTCAAACACCTCCATCTGAAAAACCCTGAAGAAACCCATGAAAATAATCAAACGGGTACCGCAAAAAGAGTAAAAAACCGAAAGAAAAAACCAAACGAAATACGCGAAACACAATAATCTGGACAAAGAAAAACAAGAAAAAAAAATTGTGGGCTTGTAGATATACGAACATACAATAGATATACGCGCGTCGAGAGGCGAAAGCTGATACGAAGAACTGAGTAAAGAGCCAACAGGGGAGCGATGTACTCTGTTGAAAAAAAGATGAAAACCTCTGGGGAAAAAAAGTAGGGTCGAGTGTTAAAAAGAACTAGTGAGTAGACAGAAATATTAAATAATTAACTAGTACGTGGCCCGTGCGATGCACGGGAAAATAATATTTTGATTGTATTATAAATTAAATAAATAAATAACAATAATCATGATTTACGCATTATTTATAAATTAAACCGGGTTGGACACAGTCCGACCGGATGGACCGAGAACCGGTTTATAACCGATTTAGTGCGCTTGAATAAAATATTTGCTATCGAATCCGCCAACACCAGTATGTTGGACTGGTAAGATCAATACGATTTTCTAAACAAATTTTGTTACATGAAAAATTATTTTAAATAAAATTACATATTTAAATAAAATAGAGATTTATAAATTGTTTATCAATTAGTTTAAACATTTGAATTTATAAATTGTTTAGATATTTAAGTAACACTTTTTATTTAAATTTATTACAAAAAGTATTATGTATTAAAATCCGAACAACCACAAGACGGCCCAATTCTGAAAACCTTATATTTACCGTACATTAATAAAAATGATAATCAAATAAATATTTTGTTCACATAAATAATGATAAAATGATATATAAATATTCATAAATCATTAATCATGTTGTCATAAAAGTATTGTTAATATGATTATTTGAAGTTTGGACTACATCACATTCACGTAATAAAGTATTTTCAATATTAAAATTTATATTTAGGTTCAATAATCAATTTGGTCTGGTCAAACTGATACATAACTTAGTTACCTCGGACCAACCAAGTTGTGTCAAGTTTTTTGACTATTTTAAATATCACCTAAAAGTAATTCAATCAAAGTGGGCAGTACCTTAATTCAATCACCCGATTGATCCAAAGTAATTTCCTTATTTTTCTTTAAATATAATATTTAATTTTATGAAATAAAAATATTTTATGATTCATATGTCTACACCAAATGATAGTATATTAAGATTATAAATTATATATCTAAAGATGAACTATTTATTTTCATTTTATGCATATTAATAAAAAATAAAGATAGTAATTTAAAAAAAATTAAGATTAATTGATTGGGTATGCAATTTAAAAAATATTTTTAGCGTTCAATATATATATATATATATATATATATATATATATATATTTAACATGATTGAATTTTTGGATTAGAATATATATATTTAAAACAATTTTATCATTAAAAGTCAAAAAGAAAAGATGCCAAAAAGATTACAACTTTGAAAAGTTTATAACCATTAATTTAGGAACCCTCCGATTTTAAATGATTTATAATTTTTTAAACATGATACGTGCATTTAAAACCCATTAATCTAGGAACTATTCAATTTTTTGATAATGAATTAAAATTAAAATGTAAAAGTTGCTAAAAATAGTATATAATAAATGTGGTTGACTTTTCCTTACTACTATTTATGGTAAATGTTAATTCTTATTATATATATATAGATTTTTATAAAGTCCATAGAGCTTGTTCATTGAACCCTAAAAAATAATAGAGTTCAATCATCTATTTTTTATTTATTTTCATTAGCGTCACTTTTTTGTCGGAACGTAAACCTGAGTTTGTTAGCGCTAGCCATAAACTAATAAATAAATTTGATTTTTGTATATATATTTATTCCTTGATATAAAAAAATTAACAATTTTACTTATTATTGTTCCTCGTATAAAATTGTGCAACATTATATAAACATGTTGATTTAAAATTAGTACAAACCCGTACGGTGCATGTAGTTAATAATGAATTACATGATATTTATTTCAAAATAAGTGTCATTTTAAAATGTGTATTCATAAATTTGATTTGACTACAATGTTATTCAATAAAATAATTATTTTGGTAAAATTTTATCTTATATTTAAAAATTGATGTGATAATAAGTACAATTATAAAACTTAAGTTGTTCCATTTATTAAAATAAATTTATTTTCGTATAAACAATCCAAATTAAAAAATTTAAGTAGTTGAGTAATTTATTAAACTATAAATAATTGACTATGTCATTTACATCCAAGTTAATTTTGACCTGTAAGTTATAAATAATTACTTATTTGACTTTTAAATTTAGAATCTAAATTTGGACTATACAAAAAAAAAAATCTTATAGATTTCACACACACACACACACATATATATCTAGCAATATTTTAGATTTGTTGTCGTTTACCTTATCTTTCAAATTTATAAAATAATTATCTAGAATTAAATTACAAATTTTAAATTTTATTAACCAATACTTGTTCAATGATCTTTTTGATTTTCAAGAGTAATACATACCAATTTGTCGAATTATCATCAATATTGTATCGCAAGTTATTAAGGGAATATGCTAAAATTTGAGAATCATATCACCTTGATTTTATAACAAATCAATCTAAAATTCTACTTTCATACCATACCAAGTAAAATTCATACCACTTATTTTGTTTTTAAAATTTCAAAATACACTTCTATCCTATCAAAAAAAAAATAAAAAATCATACCATTAAAACTCAAACATTTCATACTAAAAAAAATTCGCCCACTTTATATCATAAATTCATACATTTATTAATAACAACACATTTGCTACAAAAAATAAAAATGGTCATCATATACATCAAATAATATCGTCCACTTTATACCAAAATCAGATTTATTAATTTTGTCAATTTTATACCATAAATTGATTAATTAATTTCTAGAGGCGGTATTTTTTAATTTTTTTTAAAAATATCACCAAGTTTAATAATTTTATATTTTTTAAGCGAGATTTTAGTTTTTATTTCAAGTAAATATAAATTATATATATATATTTTTAATAACGTAAACATAAAATTCATATGATCGAAATAATCTTCAACTCTTGTTGCACCTCTCATTCTAAATCTTTAATGTATTTTTTGAAAGTCCAATATCACACAAGCAAAATGAACTGTTTAAAAAAATAAATAAATTTCTTCAATGCTATTATTATTAAATCATATGAAATGGATGTGATGTAACTACAAGTAAAATATACATAATTTTATAGAAATGCAATTCAAATCTCAAAGTAACTACAAAAAAAAAAAAAAAATCTATATATTTTCAATTCAACTTTCTTCATAAAATATTGTGCATGGGAGTGATAATAAAATTTATTTATCTACACTATGCCACGCCATAATTAGCATTGGAGTGTTAATATAATCTTGTATGGTTAATTAGTTTTTTTTTATGTGGACAGTGACCTCTCTTAACAAACGCCACATTTTTAGGCCACCATTTAATGCTGGTTGTTTTGAAGTAAAAAAAAAAACAAATAAAACTTCCTATAAATAGCATGTTATTAATATTTGACCAGAATTTAACTTGCCATTTTTAAAAAATGGTAATTCTTTATATATATATATATATATATTCAAATATATATATTACTGTGATATTAGATGACTATTATCTCATACTTAAATATAAAAAAAAAATTATCTACAAAGAAAATATATGACATTCAGGGTTTAACATCATTGGAGTTTGAGATAAAATTTAAGTGACATGTTCTATTTTATGGCTCAACATCAGTGGAATTTTATCACTTTAAATACGGCATGATGAAAATCTGAAATTATCATTGGTGTTCCGAAATTGTTGTGATTATATTAATGAAGATCTGTGGTGTTTGTGTATGGTATACGGCATGATGAAGATCTGAAATTATCATTGGAGTTCCGAAGTTGTTGTAATTATATTAATGAAGATCTGTGGTGTCTGTGTATGGTATGTGTATGGTATAGTAGCCGTAGAGTATGGCTTGATGGTGAATCCACCCAAAGTTTGAATGATTGATTCTCTATAATTATTCAATCAAATCTACCTAAAAAACTAAGGAAATTCGAAATAAAAGTTTACACAATATCTCCAAATTTGTTTCATAATTCCTAAATTTAGGGGAGTATTAATGCTGTATGATTTTTTGATAAATAAAAGATCAACAAAATTTCTAAAAGTGGCGTGCAATTAATTTTGACTTATTATTTTGCTTATTATTTTTAGTAAATGGTAATTCTTATTATATATATATATATAGATTACAGATTTTATGGATAAAATTGGGAAGAGAGTAAAATGAAAGGAGTACAAATAAATTTACAGTTCGCCCCTTCAAGAAACCGAAATGTCAACATGTGTCATTTGGCAAGTGACCCCTTCATAAATTATTATTATCTTCTGCTCTTTTTCAACCAGTGTCATTATTTTGACACTTCATAAAATTCCTTATATCTTCAGTTTTGGCATTTTTAACGAAAAATGATATTTTATATATTTGACTAATATTTCAGAGGAACTAAGCTAATTAATAATTGCTTGTTTGGAATCAATTTTTTAGATCTATGCAAATGAATCTTTTACTTCTTTATTCATAAATTCATTCTTAAGATACACTGAACTTTTAGAGAATTCACTTATTCAAAAATCTATTCTTAGTTTGACACACAATTTCTCTTTGAGCAATGACAATCAACAAGTTGTTTGATAGCAATCTCTACTAACTGCATAGCAATTTCATCAACCATTGACACTTTACGGTTGAATAAGCTTATTCTCTAAAAAGTTACATTTGAATAACTAATTCACATTTGATGCTAAATTCTCCAAAATGTTAATTTGAATAACTAACTCACATTTGATGCTAAATTAAATTGACATTTGGATAAGTGGATTCTCTAAAAAGTTCATTGTGAAAAGGTAAAAGATAAAGATTTTTGATAAAGCTCATTTACTAAAATATATTTAAAAATTTGAGTTCTATAGAACTTCTTCCAAACAATTATTGCGTGAAGTTTGTGCTGGGTTATTCCACACCACTATTCTTCAAAAGGTTTTCACAAATTTGGCACATTTTCTATTTACTTCTTTTTCTCTCTCAACATGTATTATACAAGTTTGCAAATTTAAACTTTTACATACAAGTTTGCAAATTTAAACTTTTATATACTAGTTTGCAAATTTAAACTTTAGAGGATCTATTCCAGTGACTAGATCCTCCAGTCAAGACAAGATAAATTACAATTTTAAGCCCTTGAACTTATTCTCATGACAAGATACACAGGAAGTCCCCAAGGTTAAAGAGGATTAACTTAGCAGCATTTTGTTTATTTCTTAATTCTTACAAAGATGCATCATAAGGGTCTATTTTGTAAGGTAAAGCAGAGAGTGGTGCTTTTTTTTTATAATTTGATCAAACCTCGAATGAGAAGTAATAATAATCACCCCAAGGAAAATTACCAGGCATAAAAAGTAAACACACCAACTTAATAAAGCAAGTCAAGGTTCCCACATAACACAATCAGAAATATAACAATCAAGAGGNAAAATATAACAATCAAGAAGTTAAAAAAACCAAGGTTATTATGCCTGATAATTGCTTATTCGAGTTTACAAGCTTCAAGCTTCTGAAAAAGTGCACGAACGGATTCAAAAGATCGAAAGAGGGCAATATATCTATCTTGGCTCCAGAATTTAGCCAGGCGGCCAGTTCATTTGGCGTCCTCCGAGCAGATGAACGTGCAAGTGATACACAGATTGGCCTAAAACCATGAATTTGATTTCAAGATCCGATTAAAGAATATAAAAGGAAAGTTTAAATGCGTGGAGGAAAAATGGCACTCACATCCATTAGGCCCATCATTAATCACAAGCCTGAAGCCATCATCGAGGCCTTCTTGTTTTGCTACTAACTTGGCCGTGTAAAGAAGATGGCCAAGAATTTCGCGGTGCTTTTCCTCAGCCTATGTAACATTCATAAGGAATTTGTAGAATAACAATAGTAGTAATAGAAATAAGAAGTCGAAAATAAGAAGTAGAAATAAGATAAAAACGTGCGAAATATAGAAAATAGATGACAATCCTGTATTTTCATGATTTCATCTTTAAAAATGTGTCTTTTCATATAAAACACTGAGAAATAAAAAACAGGTTTAGAAACACACAACACAAGCCAAGAAATCACAGCTTAAGACGAGCAAGATTCGGTTTTTAAGAGATAAAATGACCAAAAAATCAACTATCATACAATGTTAAACCAGTCGGGTGCATGATATTGGTAAAATACACAACAATAGCAGAAAGTACCTTTGAAATTCCAGTTAATCCATCCTTCACTTTAGGAATAAGCAGGATGTGTGTTGGTGCCTGAGGAGCTATGTCCCTGAAAGCTAGAACCTGCCAATGCAAAAAANAAAGGGTTGTTCGGGATTTTGAACTGTTACACAATATGAAAGATCAAAGAAGAATATCGATGAATGAAGCAACAAATATCATACAACAACTGGGGTACACTATAACAGTTTTCGTTCTTAAAGAGAGACAAAAGTGAGATGATTGTTTGGGAATTCAAACTTTTTCTGTGATGGATGATCCATTAAAGAACCAGAAGTTTGAGTTAATGAAGATTCTCACAAAATTTAAACCATGAATTTGCACATAGGAGAAGTGAATTACTGATGATCCATTTACATAATATACACACAGACCATTGGAAACTAACTCTGACTTACTCAAAGAACAATGTAATCGTTTAGAGACATTTTTCTTGGCACATACATTGAGGAAATAATCTCTAAACATGTAGCTTTTCTTATTTTGGGTCGCCATGGAGCTCAAACAAGATAACAAATAAAAGAGAAAAGAGAAAGAAACAAATGGAAAGTTCACATTTTTATTCTTTTTTGCAATGAGGCCCTCAAATATCAACCAAGACATTAGGGTTGACTTCCACAGTATGCTACAAAGAATCAACATCCCTTCCGAAGACAAATAGATACCAACACAATCATCAACAGAATTTTCAAGAAATTACAAGCAAAAACAACGATCCCCCCACAAGAGGAGCTAAATCTTATTAAACAAATTACAAGCAGAACGAAAAAAAGGCCCAACAAAACACCAGACAGAGACCAGACCTTGTCATCCTCGTACACGACGTTTGCCGGTATTTCCTTGTTGATAATCTTGTCAAATCTGCACGTCATCAAGAATCAGAAGAAAAAAAAAATCAGTTGAAGCCTATGAGTTTAGGCGTAAAAGACAGAGAGAGAGGGAAAAGAAGACATGGTCGGAGAATCAGAAGGAGCGGCCGCAAGGGCAGCCTCTTTCTCGGACGCCATAGCCGCCGGCGAAGCTGTTCGCAAATGAGAAGTGAGCACACGCAGTCTACTGCTGCTAAGATTTTCTCCTTTCTCCATTCCTAACCATTTTGTACCTTTTTTTTCCCCCTTTTGTTTTTCATTTATTCTTTTTCACCCCTTATCTCTACTAAAATAGTAAATCAGACACATTCTCATATAAATTATACGGCTATTACGCCACTTCTTTTTCTGTCTATTCAATTTTTGCCCCTTAGTTCTAAATAAAAAGTAAAAAAGAAAAAAGTTCACATTAAAACAGCATTATTAGTCCCCATACAATTACAAGTTTGTCAAAACTATATAAATATACATTGCATGCAAGAAAAATGTTCAGAAAGGTCAAGACAAGTGAGAGATGCTCAGAAAGGGCAGCTCAAAGAGTTTAAATGCTTGATTAGGGCAGTAAATATACGGTAAAGTTAGACAATACAAGTCCAAGAACCGGGAATCTAAAAAAAAAAAAATGGATCGTCTTCTTATATAGGGGCCGAGCTTGTTCTACGCAGTTGATACCTTGGCTCTGGTGATAGTATGCTAGGCAATATTTTATCAAATTCCTGAAATTCAAAATAAAAAATATAATGGAGAGTGAGTCCATAAAATCCAGAAAATAACACATGTGCAATTTATTAAATTTGCTGTGCTCTATTTATGAGGCGCGAAAAAAAAAAATGAATTCAGTGATCGTTTCTTGTTAGTTTAGTCGGACAAAGTAGAGCTAATGCACAAGGAGATCATCACAGGATATGCAGACAGTTTTAAGTGTCGAACCGTGAATATTTTAATATGCCACTCCAATTTTTTTTCCAAGTACTGTCTATGCAAAATCAACACGCTCTTAAGATACTAAAGTGTGCAAAGTATGGTTCCTAGTTCCTTATCTAGAAAGGTTCAAGGTTAATTCCTTAGTGAAAATGCAAACATAAGCCCGCATGCATACCGAATTTGTTAATATAAATTGAAGCTCCACATCTTTCGGGTAGCCCTTAAACTCAGCACCAGAATTCAAAGGCAGAGAAAGTAAAAGGAGTAAGTAAGAAAAGCATAGGTCTTTTAGCTAAATTCTTGAGTTAACTGAACAATACGCAGATGTTTAGGTAAAGTAAAAAAAAAACAATGCCAAAAGAAAAAAAGTGTATGAAATAAAACTCCCATACTTCAAACAAGAAATCAAAACCTTTCGTCTCTTGAGCCTCTCGTTCTCCTCCTCCAGACGAGTAACTTTGTTCTCTAGCTCATGTGTGTAAGCCTACGAAACATAAATCCCGAACAGTATCATACACTACATCCAAACAAAAAAAAAATAGAAAAATTACACACACACACACACTCAAAATAATAATAATAATAATAAAAAAAAAAAGATCACCTGCTTTCTTGCTCGTGATCTAGCAGCAGATTCCCGATTCTTGATCATCCTCTTTTGCCTCCTCTCAACACTCTTTTCAGCTATATCATCCCGTTTTCGGACCGGACTCTGAGTGTCGGATAAAGCGCCCATCAACAAGGGCGATGACATCATCATTTGACTTTCCGGGTAGCTATGCTGACCTGGCACGAAAACTGCCTGATAGTTCATCATCCACTGGGCCTGCTGAGTCATAACTTCCCCTGAATCTTCGGGCCCATGTGCCAGGCCCATATTCCTCATCGACCTGGCCGCCACCACACCTGCTTGGACCAGGAAGTCCTCCAATGTCATCTCGCCAAGTGTCGCCTTCCGGTCGAGGAAATTCCTCTTTTGCCCCTGCTGCTGCTGGATGTCCTGCCACACTTCGTCTACCGTCTTCTTGCTCAGATCAGTGGGCAGCATGATGTCCGAGCAATGGTCTGGGCCCGTTGGGCCCGGCCCATTATTAGTGGACCCGGCTTCTTGGTTGCCATTTTCAACAGTCCACACGGTTTTCAGAAGCTCGTCAAGGTTCATGGTGGCAAGAGGCTTTCCCAAGTCACCTAGCTGGTTTTGCACCTCATCGAAAGTGAGCCCGTATAAAGATCCTTGCCGGACCAGCGGGTTGGATAACGGGTCATCGGTTTGGGCTTGGGTTTGGGTTTGGGTTTGGGCATCCCCATTGCTATCACTACCACCTTCTTGAGATCCCATCAAATTATCTTTTTCTAAAATAAATTCTAGAAAAATTGATTTCGCACCAAGAAATCAGTCCAAACAGGCCTCTAATTCAATCAATTGCAGCAAACATAATCCTAAAGCCCAGGAGTTTTTTATTTTTATTTTTTTGCATGAAAAGCACCTTCCATTCTAAAAAACAAATGTAAAGAGAAAAATGAAACCCATACCATCAAATTGAAGAACAGAATACATGGAAAAATGTAATAAAGATTGCATTTTTATGGGCCCTTCAAAAGAACCTAGATCGAATAATCAGAGCAAAATATATGGAAAATCAAGAAATCTGAGTGAAAATGAACAGAAAACCAGACTCACCATGAGAAATAGTACAAGCCCACAAAGCAACAGAGTCGTTGTAGTGAGATTTGAGCAGCCATGCAACCACCGGTTTCCAAAACACTCGAGAAGAACTTGGGAGAGAACAAAAGAAAACCAAAAAGCAGGCTATAAAGTCTTTCAGCTCACAATTTTAAGCTCATAAAAATTTGATGCAAATGGGAACAAATGACGTAATAATAAGAAAGAGAAAAGTACAAAGAAAAGGAAATAGAGAGAAATCAGACCCACATTGTGTTCTCTTCTCCAAACAAAACAGACAAATTGATTTTCAATGTTTAGACTTCAGAGGAAATATATGTCTATGTGTTTGTGACGCGGATAAGACTCCAAAATATATAAATTTTTATATATTTTTTTAATTTTCCACTAATTTCAAACTCATATTCAAATTATTAATATTAGTAAACGAACTGAGTTAGAATACGTATTGTTAATGAGCGGAGCTCGATTTAGGCTCTCAAGCCGGATTTATATTATGAAATTATGAGCTCAACTCAGTCTAACTCGTTTAGACCTCTATAGTATGCTACAGAAAATTTCAAACTCCACTGTAAAATTTTGTAGTAAATCGACTATGGAAAAGTTAAAAAAAACTAAACAAATTTGAGCAATGGTTTTCTTTTATAAATATATTTGTTACGGGTACTTGTGCCTGCGTACTATACGAAAACTGTTTTTTTTTTTTTTCCGTTATTATATATTACTCATTGATATTTGATACTGTGGACTTTCTCTCTTGCTTTCCGTTTTGGTTTGGAGTCTGGAGACTCGCGGTTGTTTGGTTAAAATAGGAAGAATGAGGGAAACAACGGAAAATTGCTATTAAAAGGGTCCAAATTTAAGGTGAAGACAGGTCCATGTGATAGTTTAGCATTTTATCATTATAGTTAGTGCTAAAAGGGTTCAATTTTAAGGTAAGACAAGTCCATGTGATAGTTGTAATATCCGAGACAAACTGAAAAAGTTTTTTTTTTCTAAGAAAAAAAAAACTAATTCCTATAAGCAATATCAAATTGTATATCAATTTGTATCCACTTTTCTGATTCTCAACAGAAATTCACAATTAAGTGTTCAATTCGATCAATTGTTGGATGAGTGACATTTGGAAATCAACATTTCAAGGAAAAGCACGAATGCTAAAAGCGAGCTGAAAATAGTAATACTCGTCATGGTACAATATGTTGGTATATTGGAGATATAGTCGATGAATGCTAAAAGAGTGAGTGAAAGTACTCGACTTGGTAGAGTATGTTGGTATATTGGAAATATCAGTCAGGATAATGCAGAGCATTTATTTAATTTTAGTTGGTGAAACAATTAAATAATTTGATTGCCAAACAATGGAAATTTGCTAGAAGGGTCCATGTTAAGGTATAACACAAGTCCATGTGATAGTTTGCATTTCGTCACTATAGTTTTAGTGCGGCATTTGAATATTTTGTTTGCAAAAATCGGCATATGTAATTATAGGTTCAGGAATAAGGTTAAGAAGACTCGTTGATCATTGCACATAAACTTTGGTTAAGCAACAGCAAAACATGTATTCAAAAGTGTTGATCTTCACCAAAAAGAAAAAAACAATATCAACATCCAGATCCAAAATTAGAGGTGTAAACGAGTTAAGAGCCAAACTCAAACTTTAAAGAGTCAAACTATAAAACTCAAACTTTAACTAGTCAAGCTACAGAATCAAATAAAAATTCCTCAACAAGCAAATCTAACTAAACGAGTTCAACTCGTTGATCAAACAGGATAAACCAAACTCTAGCCTTGAAGAGCAAAGCCAAAACTCAAAGACATCTCAACTCATCTAACATCTCTACCTAAAGATAGCTACACGAGCCCACTATCAGCACAACTTTTAATCTGAAGAGAACTTTTTCCTGACATTTTTCACATGCTACCAATGAACAAGCCCAACAAATTCATAACCACCATCTCCCAGAACTAAAGCAGACAACTCATAGCATTGATGTTTTAAAACAAAAGGAGAAACTCAAGAATCGAGCCACAGAAATATTGATGACAAGAAAAGTCTCAGCACTTAAAACAACAAAGATACGACCATTCAATTTAGTTTGACATAAGATGAAAGGTCTGCGATCAAATTGAACTCAACACAGCATCCACAATAGGAAAACACAAAACTCAAGATAGTTTTAGTTCATCTATCACAAGATAACCTAACAGAAACATAACCTCAATCAAGCTTCAGTGTCCTCAGTTATCTGGACAATCTTAGCAGTAGGAACTGCCAAAAGATCAGTGAACTCTTGGAATGGTGATTTTGTGAATCGGGTCTCTTTCCAGAAGTCGGGAGTTAAGAAGCCATAAGTCTTCAACAAACAGTCAAAAGTTGCCTGTAAATAAAAAGGTTGGATAAGAAACTATTAATGATTTCAAAGGCAGAGTCAACAATGGTGCAATTAGCATACTAATTACTACATTCAAGCATGAATTTTCACACCACTAGAAAACCAAGATGCATGCTAGTCAACACAATAATACATTGAAAGACAACCTCATACTCACCTACTAACCAAATGAGATGTATTCAACTAAAATCCTATTCACAAATTCTTTTGAAGACAGCCTAACCGTAGGGCAGATCGACTCATCACATGCTAAACAAAGATGCATGCTTATACTATCAAATGTCATACTTTTGATTACATTGTTCATTAAAGTATTACAATTTCTAATAAAAATAAGCATAGTTGTAAAGAAAATATGTAGGACTAAGGGTTAGACCAACATACTAGAATACCAAGTTGACTAGTATTAGAAAATACATATTCAAACATGAGAATAAAACCAAGTTGATCAGCAACAAACAATAGTCACAATTACCACAAATTCACATCTTAAATCAAGTAAACACAACAAGAATAAGCCAGAAATAACAGGAAATCCATAATCATACATAGCTAATCACCTGCATTACCCATTAAGAATAAATTATCATCAGCTAAAACAACTCCTCAATGCTTAATCCACATCACATCACCAAATAAAAATAGCAATATAATCAATGTAGTGAATCAGTGAACAAAATTAATTCAATATAAAAAACAATCAAGGCACAGCAAATTCATACCTTGACAAAGTTCCCAAGAGTCTTGGTGGATCCACGGGAGGAGGTAAACACATCCTCGATACCAGCAAACTGGAGCACCTTCTTCGGCACACGCGCCGCCACAATTCCGGACCCACGGGGCGCGGGGACCATCCGCACGGTGACGGACCCACACTTCCCGGTGACCTTGCACGGCACGGTGTGTGGCTTTCCGATCTTGTTACCCCAGTAGCCCCTCCTCACCGGAATCACCGACAGCTTGGCTAGTATGATAGCGCCGCGGATGGCGGTGGCGACCTCCTTGGAGCACTTGACCCCGAGGCCGACGTGGCCGTTGCCGTCTCCGACCACGACGAAGGCCTTGAACCGGGTCCTCTGTCCGGCCCGGGTCTGCTTCTGGACCGGCATGATCTTCATCACCTCGTCCTTCAGGGAGGGCCCCACCAGGGTGTCGATGATCTGATACTCCTTAATCGGGAGGGAGTGGAGGTAGATCTGCTCGAGGGATTTGATTTTCCCGGCCTGGACCAGACGGCCGAGCTTCGTCACAGGCACCCACTTCTGCTCGTCGTTGTCACGGCGGGCGCGGCGAGGGCCGCGGCCCCGTCCTCCCCTGTCTCCACCGCGGCCACGGCCACCGAATCCGCCCCTGAAACGCCCTTCGCCGCCTCTTTCAGCCATTATTTCGAGTAGCGTCTCTTAAGAGATGTGGTGGTGTTTAGAGGAAATGAGGGGGCGAGCGAATGTGTACGTTCTCTCAGAGCGTGCAAACCCTACGACACAGAGGGAGTGATATAAATAGAGAACTGATGTATGGGCTTAGGGTTTTACTAAACAGGCCCATTTGTTTTGATATTTGAGAAGTGATATAAATAGAGAACTGATACATGGGCTTTGAGGTTTTACTAAACAGGCCCATTTATGTTGACATTTGGTCCACTAGCCCGTATCCATCAAACAAGCAAATCTATCTATCTATACTAATATAAAAAACTTGTTGACAAAATTATTTATAATAACTTTGACAATAAAATAAATCAGTTGACACACTATTTAGTTATAGTTAATACTAAAAAATGCATGTAGTATAATGACCTAGATTTTCAATCAATTTGCATTGATATTATTTATCTATTTTTTAGTAACTAAACTGTTTAAATTTGATAAAAAAATGTGCACTTTATCATTTGAAAAAAAACTGAGATTCAAATACATCATATGAATGACATAGGTCTTATGAGTATAACTAGTACAGAGGTGCACAATTTTAAGGCTATTTATCTAGGCTTATAATTATATACATGAATAAAGAAAAATGTACGGGATATATATAGTACGTGACCCGTGCAAAGTACGAGATATATTTATTTGGAGAATATTATATTATAAGATGCAATATTCAATAAAAGTTTATAATACGCAAGAAAATTGTACAATGTTCAATAAAAGTTTTATAATGTTCAAGTGGAGTCTTAAAGTCTCTTGTACATTAAGACTACAGACAAAATAATATTTTAATCAATGAGTTTCCTTTCCTTGTAGCCATGTGATTTGAGGAGTACAACAAATCGATATACAGCTGACTTGCTTTTTTCATAGTAGTTTTTTTTCTTTTTTTTTTTATAATAAATTTAAAGATATTCTAAAATATAGCAAATATTAATTTTCTTATTACAATTAGAAATTTTACTAAATATAAACTCTCAATCTATGGTGTTAATCAACGTTTAAGTCTAAAAAATTAGGAATTTTTACCTCTTTTAATCAACGTTTAAGTCTAAAAAACAATAGAGTTATTATAAGTTTTTCTTCTACATCTTTTAAAACATTAAATATGAGCATGTTAGGGCTAGCTTGTAAAATAACTAATATATTATCTTACTAAAACAACTATACTAATAAAAATTTAATTTTAGCATATAAATTTATCCCTTGATATAAGAGAAAGTAACAATTTTACTTATTGTTGTTTACCATATAATATTTAATTATTATTTTATTATACATAAAAAAGAAATATTGTTAAATAGTGTAGTAGAATTGTTATAAAATTATATGATTTTTTTTTTTTACAATATGGATTTAATATTTTTTTATGATTTGATAATATAAACAAATCTATACTTAACTTTGAAGTATTTAATGTATATACTAAATAGGAATATATTTGGTATAATCAAATACCAAATATAATCAAATAAGTCAAAGTGTACATTTTTATTTGGTATTTGATTTTTTTATTATTAAAATCTTTTTTATTATACTTACCTTTTTAAAATGAAATAAATCAATTAAATAAATAAAATATTATAATACCAAAATAGTAATGGCATTTAATGCAGTTGATTTTTCTGGATAGTAAATATAGTAAATAAAATCTCTTTTTATATAAGTATATATTATATAATACAGAAATAATAATGTAATAAATGTTATTGACTTTTCTTTATACTAAATCTGATAATGATATACTTTTTAATATAAGTATAGATTTTGTTTACGTCTTATATCTAGGAATTTATTACTCATCTTCGATAAAGGGGTCCAATGAAAGCAAAGGTTCATGTTTGGTTTTGAATTAAAGACGCCGAAGTCCAATTATTTAGGGAAAAATACATCACATCACTTTACATCAAGTTTTTCAAGAAAAAACGTTCAAACCACTATTATTTCCAATACATCATTTTTTTTTAAATTGCTCAAATCATATCCATGTCTAATTATTTTAGAGAAAATTGGGTTGTTTTGAAATTGATTTTCACACAAAAATCTGAAGTAATAATTTATATTTTTTATACTCCCATTCAACACATTTTTACACTCTTTTTTAAACTTTTTTTTAACACAATTAGTAGTCCAAGCGTGTCATTGACTTTTTCTCGGCATGCAGTGCTTGATATGTTCCGCAAAATCTGAATATTATTTGCTCAACAAGAACAAAAAAATAATAATTTATTTTAAATTAAAAATTAAAAAATTCAATTAGCACATTCATTATATTTTGAGCACTCCCAATAATATCAGACTAGTACGTAACCCGTGCGATGCACGATATGTAAAATTTGGAAGAATAATATAACCTCACGTGCATTAGGATCGAAATTGAAATCATTAAAATACATAAGAATATTGTTGAATCATAAAAAGTTCAGTAACAATCATATATTATTAAAAACCTCATTGTACACAACATTATGAGTTTGATTATTTGGTAACTCCTCATTATCACAAACTAATATTTTCAAAAGAGACAAATCCTAAAAATCAAACTAATATTTTAGGATTGGTGAACAAACTAATATTTTAGGATTTCTAGAATTTGTCTCTTTTTGGTGAACAAACTAATATTTTAGGATTGGTTATATGAATAAGGCTACCTGTTTTTGGTGTTCTTTTTCATTCATTTTCATTCAAACAATCCGATGACTTGTATAATGAAATTCGAATCTTAAGCCGAAACATTTAAAAAAAGAGTTTTTAAAAATTGAAAAGTCAAGGCAATTAGTTCAGATTAATTAAAGGTCAAAGAATATCCGCTCCTTGAAATAAAGACGTGTGCTATCATTAACCAAATATCCGGTTATTGATATAGAGTGGTTACCAAAAAATAAAACGCAATAAGGACGCTTTATGGAAACATCAATGGGATAATGTCATAACAGATCGCTATACATTTTAACGATAAAAGCTCAGATGAAATGATTTATGATAATTATATCGTAATTAATGAATTAATTAGATGTGTGAAAATAACATAATTAATGAGAAGTGTGAAAAGGACATAATTAATGAGAAGTGTGAAAAGAACATAATTAATGAGAAGTGTGAAAAGGACATAATTAATGAGAAGTGTGAAAAAGACAAAAACTTACCAGTTTTGGAAAATATTAAATGCAAAAATCCGACATTAACTATAATTTGACCTACTATTTTGGATAAATGTTAATTCTTATTATATAAGTATAGATAAATAAATAGTCGATTAATAGCTTCAGCAATACGTCGGTCAATCAAAATAAAAATCAAGTTACTGCATATTTAAATAAATTTTTTATCCAATTTTTTGGAATTCAACTAAGAAACAAAATTGGCCGAAATTTTGGTGAATGAATCAATTCAACTTAAAACAAAACTTAAAACTCAAATAGAATCCTTATCCAATTATGTATAAAGATAAAATCAAATCAATATAATTCAAATGCATTCAAAACAAAAACTCTATATATGTCCAAATAATTCTATAGTTAATGGAATAAATGGGGAAACAATCCCATATTCCATGGATTCTTAAATTTGGTATCTAGTTTTTTTTTTAGAATTCAATTGAGAAAAAAAANGACAAATATATATGCATAATTAGATCGATTACATTACCAAATATCAGAATTCTTTCTAATTTGAAATGAATTTTTTGAGTAAAAATAGAGAATTGATTAATTGGAGAAACATTCCCATATTATGTGGATTCTTTCAAGACAAACAAAAAAATCAAATATCCTTGAATCAAAAAAATTATTTCATTAACATTATAACGATTTATTGTATTTGTATCAGGTTTTTCGAAAAAAATATTTAAATAAAAAAAATTATATATCATTCACATAAGTCACTATATAAACACTACATTTGTGTGATAATATTACTCCACATCAACAAGAAATAATCAGCCCACAAATAAAACTTTTGGATCCCCTTTCCATCTCCATTCAAAAAATTCAAAATGACTATGGTTTTTGGTATCATCAAAGATATCAAAACTAATAGGCCTCTAATAAAGTACGCATCATGAGAACATTCAGACCCACTGAACAACGAGCGCACTTATAAAAATATTCTTGAAATTATCTTTCACGATTCCGATGTATTTTGTAATTATATTATTATTTAAATTTGTCCATTTATATATACATTTTATTGATTTCATTTTACTTCGTAATTATTGAATTGAATATGTACTTTACTAGGGAGGAGAGATTACTGGCATCATCTGCTCCTTCAATACTCCACAATTCGTCGACGATCTGCATGGAGAGTCATTATTAGAGTCTACAAATCGAAAGCAATATTAGAGTCTACAAATCGACGATCTGCATGGAGAGTCATTATTCATGGTCAAACAAAGTTTCACAAGTGGAGGGCCGATTTTCTTATTTGTCGCTTCGATTTTAGGAACTTCACAACTTTAATGGACGTTGATAATGTTGTATATTAGAAAATGTTCAATAACATATGATTTTTTGTTTAATTATATATTTATTTTCATGATCACTGCATTATTATACAATTTGTATACAAAATTATCTTATAAAAAGCACATAAATAATAAAGCCGTGATTACTAGTAATTTTAAAATTATTATTGTAAATAAATGTTGAGTTGTGTGTTTACGTTACATTAATTTAAAATAAAATTATCCATCATCATGGAAATTGAGACTTGTACATGAATTTGAAATAAGATTATTTTGGAATAGTGTGTGAGTTCCACGTAATTCAATTATTCACCTATCTATATGTTTAAATATGTGAATATAAGACAAATTGAAATGAAATAAATAATCAAATTCTGTAAACGTAACAAGTATTAATTCATAGGAGAACCAGTATGTGGACCCAGATAATGGCATGCCAATGAATCTATCTGTTGAGTTTGTCACGTATGACATTACTGATGCCGATCAAATCGGCTACGAGCTCACGATTCATAAGAACATACAGACCTTGGCATTGATGTCTTGACGACCCCAAGAATCAACAGACTCCTGCAAGTGGTGTGTCGCTTTTGAAAACATTCGCAGCCTATTTTCGCCATTGGGTGAGGTGTCTGAACAT